ACCATTGATACATCTGTTTGTGAAAATCTTTATAGGGCTACAAAATTTTGTCAATTAATCTGGAATAATATTTGAAAATAATAAACACCTACGAGTTAAACACTAAGTGTTCAGTTTTAAACATTGCATCCGTTTAAATCTGATACATAGTGTTTATATTTTAAACACACCGTAACAATTGTAAACGCGTCAAGCGTCACAATTTTTTACAGTGTGTTTATGGACACCTGGGGACCGTGAATCATTAAATATCTTCAAAAAAGAGGTCATCAAACTTTATCAAACCTTCAAGACAATAATCAATATTTAAAGCACCACTTGTCCGCCTTTAGGATGTATACAAAAAAAAAGGTAGAAAGAAAAACCAAATTATAATAAGAGAGAATAATTGTAGCGTTACAAAACCTCTATCTATCTGCACAAATCGGAACCCATGCCTACAATTTACGTAATAATACTGTACGCGATTACTTGTGCCTTGTTTTTCATTTGAATGAGACGAGGGAATACAATTACTCGTAAAACGGATGGCATAAAGTGCACACGTGGTAATGGAGCAATATATAACACACAATCTATACTGAAGATAAGTCACAAAGGCGGGATGAGCTGACTAAAATATAAGTCAATACAAACATTAAGATAATACTTTCAATCGATTAACAACCGGTTTTTAGTTTAAGAAATGCGACCTTCTATTGATAAGTGCATCAGCTTGGTCTAAATGATCACCATAAACACAAGTTATTAGCCTAATAAAAACAATTGGAGGAGAGTTGTAGTATGGTTAAGATGCTCGTCTTCCAAACCCCGGATTTTGGGCCCAATTCCTGACGTTTCATCAAATGTCCGCAGATTCTCATTCATCCAAGATCCTCTGCAGACTGTAATTGTCTTAAACCACAAATTGTCTGTACAACAGAAACGGATGAGTTCATAAAAATAAAACAAACAAACAAGCAATAACAAAGTTTAAGCTTACAGTACACAAACAAAAAACACAACACATTTACAATTTCAAGTAATTGCACGTCCAAATCAGTGTTTGCAAATCCTGTGGTTCATCAGATTGGCCTATAGGCCCCTATAGTCCGAATGTAGACTACCGATAATATGGGATACATCAGAGTCCGTATATAATGTAGGCCTATCGATAACAAAATATGGGATTCTGATATTTTAGACCCCTACATGATGTCAGTGAAGTAAGGCATAAGATAATAATAGTTGAAGAAAATTTACGAGTTTTAAGGTTTAGGCCTATCGGTTTATATCATTCAGCGACCCGTCGCTAAGGTTACAGTAATATACCCACCACACACACAATTTGGACTGCGAAACTAAATTGGTAGTAAACCTGAGACCTGATTTTCACGAAATCGATATACGCCCTTGGTTTAATCAGTTTGATGGTTTAGGATTTTCATTATCAATTTTGTTAAAATTTCTAACAAATTTTATATATGCTTACAATCGATATGAAAACTAATAACGTTGCTATTAACACTTTTTCATAATGACCCACTACACAACTAGACTGCGTAAAACATTGATTGACCCATTGACCAAAACCCATGGATTCATCTCCCGACGTGAATAATATTTACATAGTAGATGTGACCGGTAATGCAGTACGGTATATATTAAATAATATATTTTTGAATTGAAGGATTCGAGTACCCGATGTAAAATACAGTACGGAAAACCTATATTGAACAATCTCAGAGAAAACTTGCAATCAAAGACGATATTTGATCACGTGATGTCAACGGTTACGTTCTCCTGTACAACGCGTGAAGATGATTTAAAAAGAACATGCTAGAAACACGTTTATTGTCCTTGGACCTTGTATCTTTGAAAACCATTTTACATTGGCGTATGTATTATGCAAGAGAAATAAATAAAGCAATTAATAATAAATTTTGATGAAAATATCTTCGGCGACTCATTCGAAAAGCGAGGTTGATTGGTTCGAGAATTCTAAATTATTAATATAATAATATATAGCTTTCATTCCTTACTCAATCGCATTGCTAACCCCTGATTGAAACACTACAGATAGAAGCATTGATAAAATGTATAAAACAATAATACTCAAAGTAATAGTGATATGTAATGAAGATAATAAAAATAAAAAGATGATAATTATGATAATAATACAATTCCACAGAACTGTGCAAAATTGCGGCCGACAGAAGGCGATGGGGATCACTGTGCGAAGATGCTAGCGCGATGCCGACAAACGGCGGAAAAGCGTCACAGTAGTAGTAGAGTAGTAGTAGTAATACTGATACTTGATATAACCCCAATAATGATTAAGAATGATAATAAATAATAATTATAAATAATAAATTAATAAATAGTAATAATGCGGTCATTTCATTTAATTTATTTATTCGACCAACATCAACAAAGATAATTCAATGAAATATATGCCTTTTATGTTAAAAATTGAAAGCCTGATGAAGATAATACAGAGCTATCAATCGAGCTTCAATCATTTCAATTTGTTTTAATGAATTCTTTCGAGGTTAATATACTACAGACACAAAGTAATACATCAGTCTATTTACAGAAACATCAAAGCTTCAATATATTCATGCTCCATCATATATAAAACGGATAAAATAAACCTCAAAAAATATTGAAGCACCGTGCTTCCAAGAAGAAAAAAAAAACATTCAATAATATACTTCGAGTATAAACGCTCTAAACAATAATTAATCACTTTTTACTTGCGCGGTTGCTGTGGTTACATCATTATTTTAAGTATAAACAAAAAAGACCAGTGTTATGTTAACAGATTGATGTATTTTCCGTTCCTTTACATTCTGATTATCATAAATCATCACTAACTGGCTCATATTTTTTAAGATTATAAATGACAGAATGAATATCTGAATATTGGCTTTGGTAATATGCTGAGTATAGATGACTTGATTGTGACCTTGGTTTAGCCCTACTAGGCTGCATTTAAATACGGGTAGCAGCACAGCTGTGGCTTCCTCTTTGCCCCAAGCTCTACATCATGATATCGACGGTTTGAGTTGGATGGTGACTCGCATCTCCTGTTAATGTGTTCCTTCCGGCCATGTTCTAACTTCTCAGCAATGATATCAGTACAAATTTAATTTCTTGACATTCATCAATTGCCAGGGTTTTTTTCAGTTTATGATATTAACAATAAAAATATAGGCTAATTCATCACAGGTTTTAGCACCCAACTCTAATTGATCAGAGCTGTAAGTAGAAATTTCTATAAACTTAATAAGTAATGTAGTAGTCTAGTTGCTATAACTGGAGTATCCATCCATCCATCCATCCTATGAATGAATGTTGTATCACGTGTACAGGTGTCTATGAACGAAAATCACAGACACCTGACATTACACCGTACATAAGAGGTAATAGGCCTACCACGTGTACAGGTGTTTGGATCACCGACACCTGCACACGTGGCGCTACACCGTACATATATGAGATTTTTGTGGTACACATGTGACCCTGTACGTTTTCATGTACATAGCCATGATGAAACATAAACAGGTGCTAACTTGGGTTGTGCATCTCATAACGTATATAATATATATATATATATATATATATATATATAAAGATGTATGATTGTACCATTCTTCACTATATATAGGCTGTCTCTTATACTTGGAAGCAGAACCAATCTACGTCATTGATTAATATAAGTTAGATTCCTTAATTTATTTCAGCGTAATTTTGACTTGATTTCACTGTCATTGTCCCCAGGTTTCGTTTTGTCGGAATGCATCTGAAGTGGTGTGTACATCTGAATATAGCCATACTTTGAATTACACATTCGTCGATTCATCGAATGAGACCGATTATTCAATACTGCAATGGGAACGTAATCTAGATGAGTTGTGTGAGGGGTAAGTTTATTATAATGTACTGCTCGAATCAAACAAATAAACATGGATCAGACAAATAACCAAAGATCTCAAATCAATGAACAAAAAAAATCAATACTTTGAGAAATAACAATTGCGAGAGGCTGAATTGGAAGAGAATCACCGACGGAAATGCTAATGGCTTGACAAGAAGTGCTCGAAAGTGTCTTCTTTCGCTTATTTTGATGCACTTCATCATCATCATCGTCCTCTGTCATTATCATCATTAAGCCTACTCTATAGTCAACATTATCTTCATCATTGTGGGGTCGTCATCATCATGATATTTGTAGTTAGTTATCCTCCTCACTATTATTTCTATCATTAACTTTAGCTATGATTCATCTAACTGTACAGTAATAGTTTTCAACAGTGCATTATTCGCCATGTTTCTGAATTTTCCTCATACGATACAGGGCCTCATGCATTAGTACGCAAATTATATAGGCCTAAGCATTTACTGTATTGTCTTTTATTCTAAAAATAGTGAAAATTAGTAACATTTAAAAAAAATCGTCGGTGGATTCCAGCAATAAATTGTTGGAAATTTGAAAAAAAAAATGAAGGAATAAAAGAAGGCCAGAAGGCCGACCATATTCAAATGGAAGTCCCCGGTACCATTTCCGGCCAATCTATGCAAGTGACATAGCCATAAAGCCATAGCCATCTGTAGAGGTTTTTCCCTGGGCCCGCACTATTTCGAATCCGTGGATCCGCTACTCACTTCCATTTCGACCTATAATTTAACAAATGTTTATTCTTTTCCTTTATGTATATCTCTTTTGTTCAATTTTCAGGGAAGATACAAATATGGAAATAACAAACTGCCAATCCCTGTGGGGTATAATAGGATTCAACGCAACTTCAGACGCAATAAATATCACCGCACTGGATACATGTAATTTTAGGGTATTAGTTATCAATGTATACCCATCGCCTCTACTTGATTCGGACGATCCCCCGAGACCACCTAAAACGTCCAGACCGAAGAATAACAAGAGGAACCAAAATAGTAGTAATAATGATAATAGTCGACATTTTCTATTCTACTTTCAGTTTATAGTTATTCCTATTGCAATAGTATTACTCATTTTCATCGTTTACTATCTCTACAAAATAGAATATGCAAACAAAAATGTTAAATTTTATTGTGTAAGTGAGCAATTCGAGTCCGCATATGAAATAAACCAATTAATATGAATACCTTTTAATTAATAGAAAACGTGTAATGGCAATAGTTAGTATGTTGCTTTCATTTAAATTGATTATTTCTTGTAATTATTATTATTATTATTTTTTTTTTATTATTATTATTATTATTATTATTATTATTATTTAAATTATTATTAGGCTATGTAAGGGGATGAACCAACTCGTTTCTATTCATTTGCCCGCCTCACCTTTTTATCATTATGTTTGCTAATCTTGAGTAGTGAGTCTTAGTATCCCAAATTGCAGCTTAAACAAAGCTGGGAGGATAAATCTTAAAGTTAGGAGGGTTGACGCGAAACAAATAGAACATCTCAAAAAGCTCGAGTCGCGTGCACAAAATACCACTTTCTTTTTATTTATATTTACTTGCTCATTACTGTAAGGTTTTATTATATTGTCAAAATAAGTTTTGAACCTGTACGTGTGTATTTTCGCCATCCGCGGGGCATTGTTCCGAGTCGTTTTGCTACAAGTCAACAATGCAAAGGGAGACAATTTGTAACGATTAATTAAGAGACAATTTTATTATATTTATCATAGAAGAAAAAATAATAATACAATTTGTCTTCCTTCATTCGTTATAAAAAGTATTAATGTGGTTAATATTATGATTATTATAATCATCATCATGCGTCCCAAAAATAATAATAAATAAAATATAAATAATTAGAATAGAATATAATTACATTTCAAAGTAAATCATGTTTAACTATATTTCATTATTTACAATGTTAAGTTTAAATTTTAAAAATAATTATTATTAGTGAATTTTAATATACTAAGTTGGATTTGTTTGGTAATCGTGAAGTCTTTTAATTAGAGTATTATATTTTGTTAACTAGAATATAGAGTTTAGTTGTTTCTAACTTTTAAGAATGAGTCTTTTTGACTGTTGTTGTCATCCGAATTTTATATGTTTAAAACCAATTAATAACTCAGAAACCTATATATGATCATACACTATTTGATATTTTCATGATGATATGCATATAGGCCTACATACTTAACGTACAGTCAGAAACGTGTGAACACAACAGTTACGGTGGCTGATCCGGTGGAATTACTACTTTTTATTAGTATTAGTACTTCAATTAGTACAGTAACATTTATCTTCCTTGGTTCATTTCTGTGAGTTCAGGCCTAGCCTACTTTAGTTACAACTGGTTACAACTATGATATATTCGTATGAAAAGCCCGTAATTCAGTACCAGTCCGGATCAACTAGCCTGTACCACCTGTTGGGAATTTATCGATATATTCTTAAATATGTAGTATTAGAACCGATAATAATTATGTTGATACTAACAAAACATATTATTTCTTATGATTTAATTAAGTAGTATAGCAAAAGAGGAGATTCGTACTTTAGGTGCATGAGACAATCTCACTTTTTTGTCAATAGGGAATACAAGTGATCATTCGAGCCGTCAGGAAGTCTGAAGTGAGCTACTTGTTAAGATGTAGAAAAATCGATTATTAGAATTAAAAATCCCTTAAAGATTTATTGTCCCTTGTTAATGTAAAAAAAAATCATAAAAAATAAGTTTGAAATGAACTTGCTCATTTTGCATTAACATACAAATTATTAACTTGTGCATAGAAATTATTTAATTGAAAAAATGTGTACCCTGATTTTTAAACCAACAAATTATAATAAAAATAATAAAACACTTCAAGTGACTGAAGTGTTTCTATCATTTTTCGCTGTAAACTGATGGGTAGACATTTTTTAAAAACACTAATTTCTATTTTCAAGATGCTAAGTTTTGTTACTTCAAAATGGGCAAGTTAATTTAAAAAAATATTTAGCATGGGACAATACATCTTTAAGCCTGGTTCACCATTATTAGGGCATTAACGTAATCTGCACAGAGCGTGCGGGGAACACGCGCCACATTAAAACGCATGCAATACAATGCAATGTATTTTACCATAATCAGCATGTTAGCTGGTTATACAGTGTACTATGTCGGTACTCGCTATAGAGGGACTAGGCCTACGTGTCCGAAAGACAAACTAGGACCAAAGCAATATAAGCACATTTAGGACCAAACGTCAAAAACCAAATAAATGTCGAAGAATGACTTAGGGCAAAATATTGTACTTACCGCACGTGAGGAGTTGTTGTGTTGAGACGCCTCGTCAAAAGCAGCCGTCACACACCCGCTGCCGAAAAACCAATTGCAACTTTTATATTCTGTAAGGCCTAACTTTAGGCTAGAGTGACTTCTCCTTCTAACAACAAAATAACGTCTAATTAGAATGTGTTTAGAAAGTGTAAAAATTGTTTTATATACTGTAATTTTATCTTGTTTGTTGTAACTTTTACGCTCGTATTTGAACTGAACTCAAATCGGTGAAGTGAAGCTAAAGCTAGTTCGAACTTGGGCATAATTATTTACACATACGTTTCGAACTAGAACCTAAAAGTTTGTAATAAGAACCTAAAGTTTGTAATCAACATGAGCGTTAAGACAATAAAAGCACTAAGGATCCCAGTGATTTGAGGGTATTCTTGTTGAATTTTGTATGTACGTAAAAATCGACTATTCCCATCAAATACCTATGCTTATGTATACCGGCCCAGAGGAAAAATCGGGAAAGGTCCACAATTTCAAGACAGTAGAAATGTACTGAATTCTTTGTATATAACGATTGAGAGTGAGTTTTAAATCTTTACATTTTAACCATCAATCTATCGTTTGGGAATTGAAGTTGCCATAGCAGGACTAATGAGAAATGAAAGCTGCGATCCAACTGACTTCTACCCCCAGGCCCCAGTTGGGTGAACTTTGCACATCCCCACACCCCACATTTTGTGATTATTCCGATTTTGATCTAACATCCAGTGTTATTCATCGGCAGACTAGACACGCGTCTGCACAACGCACAATAAACGTAACATCAAAATTGTTGTACAAGACCAATTTTTTTTATAAAATAAATTTGTTTCTGGTCTGAGTTTTAAAAAGAGAATGAGGCTGCTTATTGATTTATTTTTAACAAATGTGTTTTCTCTGTTCAACTTCAATACCACACAAGAAACAGTGACACGATATCTGTAAAGCTAGAAGGGCCCTAATGGCGTTTATTGCACCAAGAGAAAATGTCTAGCGGAATCTAGTGTTGAATACGAGATTTATATTCTATAATACTTAACACTAAATATACATAGTATACTGCCCTCTACGCCAATGCAACTCCATTCCTTCAAAGCTTAATCTTAACATTATACAAATCAGGGAGTTGCTATGACAACTCCCCATACAAACAAATCGCTTTATACATGCAGTCCGTCAGAACCCCTATATCTACGAAATAGATTATGCAAGTCTTAAGTGGATAGGTAACCTTTTACAGTGCTTAGATATATGACTTAAGTACTAAGTAAAAATTCCTTAAGGACAAGCAAGTTGTCCACACCAAAGATGCTGAAGGAGTTGGTAGACAAACACTTTTGTCGTTTCAATTATGGTCGAGAGAAATAATCGATAAAATAATCGTGCCTAATTGCAATGTAGTCGAAGAAATGGAGAGGGGAGACATATAACAAAAGTAATGTTTAGGATAGACCTATACAAATATCAATAAACAACGTAATGTATGATTAAGCTAAAGGTATGACACTAGTGTGGTGACGCTGACATCCGATATGAGACATATGAGGCTATGGATCAGAAGAGAAGGGGTAGATGAAGGTAAGGCACATCAAGACGATGAGTACTGGTAGGCCTGTAGATGACAATTGCTCATGAGATGCCTATCGTTCAAACAATACACAGACGCCGGTCAAGTCATCCTAGATGTCAACCGCATTCCTTATTGTTTTATAATACGAAAAGATAGGATGAATCACCAACTAATGATAAAGATGAAGGAGTTGTAAGTGTCTGTTTCTGAGAGAATGTGATTATGTAATAATAGGCCTATATTCAAATGATATTCATATGGTGGGGAGCAATAGAAACGAATAAAAGCTTAAGCAAGATTGATACATTCCAAACCGCCATAAACGATCAAAAAATGTCCTTGCCATGAAACTTTTTAAACCACATTAGCTTCAAATGAAACCACCTATGCATCTAACACCTGACATTTTCAAGTCAAATATTCGTTTACATATTAATACATAGACCTTTACTCATATCTTTTCTTTATATAAATCTGCGTAGAGGAAATCTCCCATGTGGAAATATAGGGGCGAATTATGCAAGACCGTTGGATTGGGGGAAAACAGATACAAAAAAACAAAATCTGTGAGACAAACAGATTCAGGGCTTGGCAGCCGACCTGGTGAATGGTTCACATGATGCTAGAAAATCTGCTGGAACAAGTAGATAAAATGGCGGATTAAAAGGACTGGTCACGAAATACAAAATTGGACATACCAACACACTGTGCCGATATACTGTGTAATGGTTTTATGGAGAACACTTTTTTAAAGATTCAGCTTACTGTATAACACAAGTTGTTCTATACCTCCATAGCTATATACATTATTTGTCAACACAGTGCAAATTGTCAAAAGTAGCTAACAAACAGTTCTATAGGGCCACAAATTGTATAGTGTGTGTCTATACAAATACACACATCTGTATGCCCACGATTTATATGTAAATTTATATATGTAAATGTATAATTATATTATAAAATGTTACATATATAGCACATATAAACAGAGTATACATATATGCTCCTATGCCATGCATTACCAATGAATTAAGTATGTATAGGAATAATTAGATATTACAAGTATATATATATATATATATA